TTAAATGAAGGTGGAACGCGCACAAACACCCACTCACAAGCGCTGTCTCCCGCGAGTCTTACTAGACAGCTGGTGCCCAGGTGCTAACCGCAGCTCCCAGAGTCCCGCTCCTCCCCGGCAGGGGAAAACAGGACCCCTTCCGAGTGAGCTCTCAGCGGCTGACGCGCGGAAAGACGGATCCTTTGTGTGGCGGTGCTCCGGGTGCCTCTCGGCCAGAGCCGGCCGGCTGCGGGGCCCGGACGGCCAGCCACAGCCTGGGAGCGCCACGCCGTCTCCGAAAAGCCCTTCACGGGGCCCAGTTACACAAACCGAACGACTCAACCCAGGGTTCCATCCAGGCAAGTGAGCGCCCGAAGGCCAAACTCCTCACTGTCCAGCACTGCACTCAGACTGGCGGTCTGGAACGTCGTGTCATTTACCAAACCGGTTTACACCCGTCGGTGTCGCAGAAGCCGGAGCCTACCCGGCACACAACGAGCGCAGGGCAGGGTACACCCTGGATGGGACGCCAGTCCATCGCAGGGCGAGTGCCAGCCAATCATACATGGGGACAATCCGGGGGCCACGGTAAAGTCCGAGGGGGGGAATTTGGCCCGGACACCGGGATACCTCCCTACTCTTATGGAGAAACGCCCGGGGATCTTAAATGACCACTGAGAATCAGGACCCTGGTTTAACATCTCATCCGAAAAATGGCGAAGGTCTGAAATCACCTTCTGAAAAGGCTGCTGTCCTTCAGGTTCATCTCCTGATTTCCTTGGAATTCCTCGGGAAACAGCTGGATGAGAACCTCACCTCACTTTGCAGCCGCTGACAAGAAAGGTCAGCTCAGCGGCCGTCACCCAGCTTGTAGCGGGACTTTCTAATCACACAGCTGCCCGAGGTCGACCGGTCTGCGCCGTGCAACACCGATCCACATCCTGGGAAGATCTCCTGGGAAGATCTCCCTCACGCAGCTTGGAGCTGCAAGCCTGCCTCTCTCCGGCCCTGCTGGTGTTCAGGAGTGGCGGGAGAGAGTTCTCCTCCGAAGTGAGCTGGCCTCCTGTGACGTTACTCACCTCAAGAAAGGCCGGAGGAATTCTCTGGAAGCCAGAGAAGCGAGCAGACAGGCGGACTGCACGATTGCACGAGCCTGGGAAACTGGACTTGGTGCAACTGCCCCCTAGCCAGAGGCAGGGCATAAGCTGACTCGTGTAGGACCTGCAAGTTCCACCCAGATAATCACTGCACGGGGCCAGCGGTTGATGAGCTGTAGACAGTCATTAACTGAAGTGTCTACTGGTGCATCTGCATGAACGAGGCACTCTGTAACAGGGCACCAGGTGACGAACTACCGCTGTCACTGTACCCGCACTAGAGAACACGACACTCCATCAGCTAATGACACACACCTCTCTCTCTACACACACACACGACGCCTCGGGTACAGCCACAGCGACCAATCCTCCCGTCCTCTAGCCAGTGAATGTGCGGTGCAGAGAACAGCAGGTGCAGGACAGCTTCACATAACGGTTCGGCTCCTCTGCAGCGCCGATGTGTTATAGTCGAGGCTGAAGACTGAACCCCACCGCCGGACATCAGCGATTTGCTAGGCTGTGCGTTTCCAGCTGATCCCCGTGTCGATCCACATCTAGCGACGGGTTTAGGAGTGGAAACGCACTGCCGTGGCGGATAACGACAACGCGTCTCTGGGATTTAATCAACGCTAGGCCCCCGGCAGCAATCCGGAGCGCCAACTGACACCTACCTGCCCATCATCGTAAGTGCGAGGACCGCAATCTTACGACACCGGCGCAGGGGCACACGTTTCGTTCATAGCGCTCCGTCCATCGCTGAATTACCCACACGAGCACCTCAGCAGGAGCGTAGGGCACAGCGCTTTGCCCATTTAGAAAACGCACCGTGGAGGCGATCATCGGCGAGAACGCACCACAAAAAAAGGGGGAAATGCAGGAAAAAAGAAGCGACTGACGGCATCGGGATGTCACCGCGGAATCGCACAGCAGCGCCGGGCAGGTGATGGTCTGACAGCGGCGTGTTTCTGCCCCTCCTCAGCCCGTGTTTCATCCTCGTCCTGCCCAGGCCCACAGCCCTAAACCCCTGTCACACGGGCTCGGCACAGAAAACACGCCTTTCCCCGCGCCGTGTTTTCCTTCTCCCCCCCACTCTCTGCTAACCCCAAGACCCTCCGCCACTCGGCGAGAACCCGTGAGACCCAGTCGGGCTCAGAAACAACAGGCTAACGCGGTTAAATAATTCAAGAAGAAAGAAAAGCAGTGCCTGCTAAACTCACCTCTTCAGAGCCGAAATCCTGTCACAGCGCAAACACACACACACACAGGGAGAGCTACGCGCTCACGCACGCACAAACCCAATCGCGGAGGAATCGCACGCACGGGCGGCGTGTGGAGCGGCCCGTCAGGAGAAAACAAACAGCGCAAGTGTGAAGGGAGGGAGGGGGACACAACTTCCCACCTAGGAAAATCCGCAGTATCCATCCGCCGACAGAATTCCCTGGTTAAGTAGAGCCACAACAAGGGGTCACCGAGATGTTAAGTGTTTTCCAGCACAACGTAACGCACTAGAAAAAAGATCAGATTAATTCCGAAGATTTCTCTTTTCAGTCAAAATCGCAATAATGACCCGCCTACTTATTTGATGCGTTTTTTTCGGTTCGTCGAGTCTCCTTAGGATGAAAACGAATGAATCCAAAAACACATTTTAAGTTCCAGTACGTATTAGCAGCATCAAAGCGCTCTATTGTCAAACTGGGACCAAGCTGCGCCTGATAGCTCTACGTTTCTACATATTTGGGTAAGAAGGCACAGATTATGAAAGAAGCCCAGAGTTGGTTTACTGGCATCTGTACTCAAATGTTAGTCCACATAAACTCACTGATTGCATTTCCAAACTCAAAAGTGACGCTTCGCAAGGTAGAACTACTACAACTGGGAATTAAACCAAAAACTTTTTTAAACGAAATTGGGAGACCGGTGCTTGTACTTGTGTCAGTGTGTCCGTGTGCGGTGTTAGTGTCTGTTTCATCGCTGACCTGATATCAACACTCTCGTACAGGACGTGCGTCTTTCATAGTTGAGATAGTTTCTTCACAACAGGCGCGGTGCAATTAAAAAAAAAGCCGTCGGAACTACTTCCTCGCTGAACAACTTCACATCTGCCTCCCAGTGATAACAGGTTGATCCGAAACAGGGTGCGACCGCCAGGACACGAAACAGAAATGCAAAGCATTATGAAAATGTAATTGCACGCACATAAATACAGCGATTCGTTAGAAACAAAACAAAACAAATATCAGTTTGAGGATAATTGATAAAAGATCTCCATAACCTATTCTAGACTGTTGGTTTATAATACAAGAGCCCGTTCTTAAAATAAATGGTATTAAATAGGCAGCTTAACAGTCATTGAAGCTAAACTAGAAGTACATCGCGAAGAATAACCTTGATTTATTTTACATTAGTTTTTAAGATGATCGATGTATTTGGAGTAGCCGACCATCACCGCTAGATGGCAGCACTAAAGGTTAAAATGGTAACAGTGTTAAAGAACAGCTGTTAATAGTCGTCCATGAGGAGTCCATTACAGCTAGAGCCCATTCACAGGGCTCTGGACTCTTAGTGTCCATGACGTACATAACGAAAATAATAATATGCAGGATTACTGTTTTCAACCTTCCTGCATTATCAGACCTATAGCTCCCGGAGACATTACCCACCTGGACGCGTGACATTCGCTTTTCAGCCTGATATTTTCGGGGTAACTCTCTTCGTTTTCGGCGCTATAAAACAACAACCGCCTTCAGTTCTACGTCGCTTGACGTCGTTGACCTCGACTCAATCGTCGGGCGCCCCGAAATACATGTACAGTCGCTAGATAACCTTAAATCTTGAATTTTTCGTTTCAAAGGACACAACAATAGGAGAAAGTTAACTTCTACGTCTACACAGCAGAGTGCGTGAAAGTATAGTCACATATTTGCGTACCGTTCAGTACAGACTATATGTCCTAAAGGCATCGTCATAATGCATATTGACAATCATGAATAATTTAAGTGCATTTCTCTGTGCAAGGATATCATTTACATATGTATGCATTATATACAAACAGTATATATAAATACTATATTGTATGTATTGTTTTTATAACGAACTTTTTAAGCAGTGGACTCAATTGTGTGTTTATGGATGCGACTGCCGGCACCGTACTGCAAGTCCGACCAGAAAGGCAAGGCAAGCGCGAATTGTTTCTGCATCCCAGCGTACAGCCGAAAGAAGAAAATGTCGTTAGGAAAGTGTTTTTGTTGTTGTTGTTGTTTTCAGAGGCCAACGCTTGCAGAGCTCTTTCAAAGGAACAACGCCGCAGCCACGCGTAGCGACAACCGCGCTCGCCTGAAGAAGCGCACTCTGGCCATGTGGGCTGTCCGAGTTGGTTCACACCTACTACCTACCCCCCCGGATGGTCTACCCCCCGCCCATCGGCTCGGCGAGACGCAGAAGCGAGGAGACGAGCCGGCAGAGGGAGCGGGTGTGATTCCGGGCTGGAGCCACCGCGTCCGCGCACACGCGAGAGCCCCGTCCCTCAGACAAAGAAACTGGAGTTCAAACACAATTACGGAGACAACGCCGACTGCCAACAACAAGTACTCGAGCCTGGATGCTTGTGTGTGTGTGTGGGGGGGCTTTTTTTCCCCCACCAGTGATGAAGAGATAAAAGAAGAACCCCCTTCTCCGCCAGCTGCTCGGGAACATTTGAAAGTGTTAACGGCAAAGAAACGGTGGGAATCGATAACCTGATCGACTCGGCTCTCCCCCGGGCTTTCCCTCGCTCTCGTTTCCCCCTCAGCAGAGGAAGAAGAAGAAGAAGAAGAAGAAGAGGGACATGAGATGGATTTATAAAGCCCGGCTGGTCGGTTTTTCTTTTGGGGGGAGGTGGAGAGCGCTTCCGCAGACTAATGGGACGAGCTGTGGCGCTTTTCGCTCGGATCTGAGGTGAGTGCCCCCGGTACTTCGCGACAGATGTTAACGGCGGCGCTGTTAAAAGGGAAGGAAAGGGACGGAACCGGCAGAAAGCTGCGTGGTTCACACAGAGCTCCACGGATATCGGCTCTCCCCTCTGTGGAATCGAGCCATTTGCTAGCGAAGCACGTTGTCCTACAGTACAAAAGCTCCCGTTTTTAATATGGGCACTCTTGGGTGAAGTCGGGTACTCGTGGTAACTTATGACTGCTGCTGTTGCTATGAAGTGGTCCGGTGTACTTAAACCCACGCGTAACGTTTAAGTCCATAAAACAAGTTTCGTTTGCCAAATGCTTCGTAAATTGGATTACAGTTAGGGTAGGGACCGGCTCTCGTGTAGTTGTTTTTTTTTCTCTTCTTCTGCCGTTTAATTTATCTGAAAACCGAAGAGGCGCCGAGTTGTAGCATAAGGAGACAGCCGACTGAACTGTACATTATCGTTGGACAGACTGGATTTAAGGCTCTCCTGGCTTGCTGTCTGCCGAGATCAATCTTGCTTCTCCGGACAGTGGGGTGCTGCTCTCTTGGGCAGAGAACTGGGGTGGGGGTGGGGAGGGGTGTTCTCTATGCAGTCTCGCGGTTTCCTTACGACAGGAGACCCCTGGACTCACGGACGCCTAGAGTGAGCTCTGCTCTCTCTTTGTAACCTGTCTTGTGGTCCAATAATAGATGCATCTGCTTACAGGCAGCCACCCGCCTCCTGGCTCTGTGTCCGATCGGTGTGTGTCCCCTGGACACACCTGGGCCCCTGTCACTCGTGCTGTGTCAGACTCCTGTTCGTGATACCCGTAGAGTCATTATTCTCTTGCTTCTGGTTCTCCCCCCCCCCCCGACTGAACCGAAAAGGAAAGCAACCGAGAAAAAGCTGGAGCGAATGGTGCCATTTGGAAAACGCTAAATGGAAGAGTCCGTGTGGCCCTGTGTCGGATGCTTCCATTGTTCTGTTCCCAGAGAGTGTCGGGCTCACCCGTGACTGCTGCCATGCACTTCCTTCACCAAGGCTGTATAGCCAGCAGCTGTACCACCCTGCAGCTCCCAGCTGGCAGCCCCACTGGAGCTCAGCAGGTGTGAGCCTGGCCGCTACCTGGAGGGGAGACCTCCTGGGAAAGCTGAGGGTACTGCTGGAAGAGGTGTGAGTGGGACCAGTAGGAGGCACTCACCCTGCAGTCTGTGTGGTCCTAATGCCCCAGTTTAGTGATAGTGATGACACCATACTGTGAAAAAAATGAGACGTAAAACCGAGGTCCTGACTCTCTGTGATCATTACAAATCCCGGGGTGTTTCTCAGACAGAGTAGGGGTGTTACCCCAGTGTCCTGGCCAAACTTCCCCCGGCCTTTATCAATAATCCCCATCTCTGATCTGGCTTCATCACTCTGTTCTCCTCCCCACTGAGAGCTGGTGTGTGGGGGGAGAGTACTGGTGCACTATGGCTGCCGTCACATCATCCAGGTGTGGCTGCACACTGGTGGTGGTGGAGGGGAGTCCCCATTACCAGTAAAGCACTTTGAGTGGAGTGTCCAGAAGAGTGCTATATAAGGAATTAAGGATTAGGGTTTTCCACAGTGCTTCTGCGCTGGACTATGCTATGTTGCTGCAGTGTCGGTGCCTGCTCCGTTTCGTGCCTGGTGTTCTGCCTGGGGGTGGATGGCTTTAATGCAGTGGCAGCAGCGGTCCTTTGGGAAGGTGCGGAGGCCTCCAGCCCCAAGTGACCCACACTGCCTTCCTGTAGGGTCGCTGGCAGCAGGATGCACAGCTCTTCCTCCTCCCTTCCTGCCGCAGGAGCGCAGGGCAGGCTGGGGGGGGAAACGTCTGCCCGTTCCCAGCTCATCCATCACAAGGCCGCCAGGGCTCGGCGGCCCAGTAACATGCAGTCGGCAGAGCAGCTACACGCCCCTCCTTCATAAGCAGCCGACGTGTTGTTCTCGCTGCTGTCTCTCCCTTACCGTGACAGACACTGTGCAGGCCCCTTGCACGCCTGACGGCGGACGCCTCCTGTGGCATCACTTCAGGTCTAGTGACCGGCGAAGCAGCGAGCAGCACACACTGCCAGGCCAGGCTGTCCTGTGCATACTGCAGCGGGTTACGCTTGATCGCTGCAAGGTGCTGGGAAACCTCGGCATGGGGGGGTTCCCCGGTACTTACCAGGAGTCTTGCCTGTGACGTGGGTTGGAGTTGGGTCTTTTTTTTTTCTCTAAAAGTGAGAAACACAGAAGTTCTTGGAATTTCATGTCTTTCGGACTCCACTCTGTCTTGTTTGGAGCCGTGAAAATTCCAGTTCCACCTCCTTGAAGACCTGGTTTGCTCGTTTCCAGACGGCCGCCTCTGCACCTTGAATCGTCACAGAGCTGTAGAGGTGGGTCTGTCGCTGTGACATCACTCCTTGGCAGCCCCACACGTGCTAGATTTTCCATTTACATCATTGGTCCCTTAATTGAACTCAAGTGTCTGATGATAATTGAGCAAGGAAGGTTTATCGAACAGTTTTTCATACTCAGAACAGGAGAAACATCTCTGCACAAAGGGTTGTGGGAGTATGTAACAGGCTGCCCTGTTGCCAATGCAGACTCCCTGGGATCGAGCACAAAATGACAGACTGAGGTCCTCCGATTCATAAGCTGCTAACAACCAAAGGATCAAAAGGCTTTTATTTTGATTTTATGCATTCATTATCAGGTTAGGCTATTTTTTAATTGTGAGTAATCACAAATCCCTCTTCGGTCCTATGTGCTGCCCCTGGTGTAGGACTGTACTGGCATGAGCTTTGTAATATAGTGTCTGATTCAGCAAGAGTCGGGCAACAGGGCAATAAAAGCTGATGTTCCCTGTGACCAGTTATCATCATAATTATAAGCAGCCTTGCGGCCTGGGAGCCGAGCAGAACTGAGCCTGCCTTGGAGGCCAAGCGTCTCTGACGCTGCTGTGGCAGGGAGTTTTCCTGAACGTGTGCTTGACATTGTCCCTGTGTCATCTAAACTCAGCTCACTGTGGTCAGCTTGCTTATTTTACCAGATGTCCCAATTTTCCTGGGATCTTCCCATATTTTACTTTCTCCCGTACTGGCCGGAGGACACCGTTAAATTATGATAAAGAAAACGGTAAAATGATTTGCGGCTTTTGAAAAACAATGCCTGTTCGTGAATTTGTCAGGTATAATGCTAATAATAACACAAGAACAGTGCAGCTGGATGCATTAAGATGAATTTGGGTTCTAGTGCTGCGTGCTAAATTCGTGCCAGGGGTCACCAGCAGACCTTTCGATTTTAGACCTCCCGCAAAGCTGCAGTGTTACTGCCGTATGAGTATCTATTGTAAATGTGTCAATTCCTTAGCGGATATTTTTGATGTCTGAGATCTGAGATACTGTAAAGTCGTGTGGGAGTGCATTCTCTTTTGTTCATGGAGTGGTTGTGCTGTTTTTAACTGCGCTCTCTCTTTGAACCTTGCTTGCCTTGCGACGCAAGAAAGGTTCCCTCTACTCCACAACTGGAGACCCCTTTTTCGGGAAGTTGAAATGAAGATCGCCATTTGGTTTCCAAGTCCAAACCGATTTGCAAGGTCGCATTAAACATCTTATCATGTCATAAGAACATAAGGAGGTTTCCAAATGAGATGAAGCCGTTTGGTTCGTTTGGCTTCTCTAGTTGCCAAGTGGTTAATTGATCGAAGGAACCCAGGATCAGCTTGTTCCAGCCTCCCGCTTCTCTTTGTGTAAAGAAGTGCTTCCTGCTGCGACTATGAAATGCATTTCCTATTTTTTGTGTGTATATTCACACGCATATTTATGTACACCGTCCACCCCTCCTCCCCCTTAGCCCTGTAGTTCAAAGTTATCAAGACAGAATTCCAGCGTAAAAAGAGACTGCTTTAGAATCATGCCGAGTTCTTAATGCTTAAAAAATATAGGTTTTTGAATTTCTTTCATTTCCTGCTTCTTTTCCTGGTATTCCCTGGAACACTTAGACTGTAATTTTAAATAAAAATACACCAGTCCTGCTCAACACAAAGGCGGGATGATCTTATTTTTTTGGCGTTCGCTATTTTTGACCTCCAGATTTTGCCATTTCTCAAGCGCAGTTTGACAAACAAGTTCTCTGTAGGACACGTGCATCTATAGGGCTGCAGGTTGTGAGCTCACAACTGCACCTCGATGTGAAGTGAAACATGTTGAACGGAGAAGAGATGGAGTCTTTTGCCAGCGTGCAAGTCTCCCAGCATTCTCCAGGGACAATAGCAAGAGGCTTTTTTGCTGTTTATGTCTTCTCCTCTCTTTTGCCTTGCAGTTCGTTGAAGGAAAAAGAGCACACATGTAATTGTGTATGAAGAACCTGTCAGACAAGCTGGTACAGTTTGTGATTGTTTAGAAAGGAAGTCTATGTCAGAGAACCACATTTTCTTCATAGCTGTCTCTGTACCCTCCCTGAGACAGAAAGACAGCAAGACTGAACAGACTGATCACTGCACAGACAAGTCAAAGACCCACTGCTCGTCGTGTGGCTAATCGATGTGTGGGTCCATTTACAGCCGCTCTGAATTATGGGATACATTATTATGAGCTGTTACTGGTTCACAGCATTAGATGGCTAAAACAATATGTTGAAAGAAATTGTTCCATTTCACATGTGAAGAAGGAATTAGTATTCGTGTTTTGGAGGAGGCATTTATGCTATCCTTAACCACATTTTTATGAAGGTCCCAGCTTCAAACTGGGCTGCCCTATAGCTGCCAAAAGTGGGAGAGTAGAAAAGAAAACAATCTTTAAATTTTTGTATTAAAAAAAAAAGGATCTGCAGTCGCATTCAGTAGAAGATTATCTGCTTACTTTCTCCACGCAGAAGCATGTTCAGTTTGTGATCAATTTGTCATGACCACAGAGAGTCAGGACCTCGGTTTTATGTCTCATCCGAAGGTACTGGCCAGGCTCGCATCTGCTGAGTTTCAGTGGGCTGCCAGTTGTGAGTTGCAGGCTGATATGACCACTGCATGCGCAGGCCAGTCTGTCTCTAGGTCTCTATCTCAGTGTGGAGCTGAAGGGACCCAGCCTTTAAAAGCCGCTGTTCCAGCAGCTGCCTGCTCTCTTCTCTCTCTGCTGTCCACGTGCCAAAACCACATTTAAAATTGGAAGTGAGGGAGACTCGCCACAGACTCAGAGCGACTCACAGAAACCAGCAGAGCGTGAGCAGGCGTGTGACTGCCATCGTGGACACTCTCCGATCGCTGTCTCGCTTTTTTTTTTTACAGTAGACGTAAAAGCCCGCCTTTCCAGGGTGGTAATCTTGTCCTTATGGAACAAAATTGTCACTGCATGGGAAAACCCAGGGCGTGCATGCCTCTGAGCAGGGCATACCCAGAGCATGTATATGTGGCGAGAGCAACACACACACACACACTAGTGGGCAGATTGCCACAGACACACCTACCCATCTCGTTCCTTCTGTACTTTCGATTTGCTGTAAGCAAATTAATCTGCCGTTCTTGAGAGACTGGAAAACTGACAGATTCTAATTCTATTGAAGACTTTGACACGACTTGCATTCTGTTTATCCAAATGGACAGTGTCAATTATTTCCCAAGCAGCACCTTAGAATTGTCCCAGACCTTTAGGGGTACGGTTGACTTGCACACCAGACACACCTGCAAGCACCCAGGCATCTCCAAGCTCATGGTGAGATTAATGAGGGACACACTTCTCCTCTATTTGGCACTGATCCTCCTGTGCATCACTGTATCATGTCCAAAATGATGTTGACATAGGCAAAATTCTACATTCCAATAAAACAATGAGCTCCAACACACCTGTGGCACATCATGTTTTGAGTAGTAGTTTTGAATTAGTTTCATACAGGGTGCAAAAATCATTAGTTCACTTCTTTACAGTTCAAATGCATTCTGTGTGTACGGACCTCAGTAAATGACGAACCATAAAGCATGCTGTGTGATTGTGCCCAGCTCCAAGTTGCATTCTTGTAAACCCATGCAATAGCAGTATGTAGTGCACGAAACAAGCGTGCAAAATGCATGCGAAAAAAGGCACAAGCACATGTCTAATGCATGCGTACACTTCACATATGGGCTTCCAGAGGCAAAGAGGAGATGCCCACTCCACGCGAGCAGACGTCTTGGTTTTTCAGAGGCAGCAGCGAAGGACAAGGCAGAAGTCTGAAAGTGCAAGGACAGTGCTCTTTTGGGTGTGCTTAAGTCAAAAGAAGGGGAGAGGACAATGAGCACAGCCCAGCTTTGAGTGCAGCTTTCTACCTGCTCAGATAAGTGCCCGTGTCGAGCCGGCTGTGCGACCTATAGGAAGAAAGAATGAGGGAGTGGAGAGGAGGACAAGAAGCTTTGCCTCAGGTGTCGAGGTGCAAAAAGTCAAATAAAGGGGCACCGAGCCAAGCAGCAGGAGACGGGATTCCCATGAACTCGGAAAGGGGAAAATGGCATGGGGTGGGCGGATTGAGGGATAGAGAGAGGACAAGCAGGAGAGACAGCAGTATGAGAGAGGGAGAGCAGGGATCAAGAGGGGAGGATTCGAGATTCACAGGAGAAGGAGGAAAATGCAAGGAATGAGAAAGCTGGAATGGAGTAAATACAAATAAAATGAGGGCTGAGAAAGGATTATCTTTTTTTAAAAAAAACATCTTCTTTTCAGGCTGTCACACTAGTTGCAAGTTATCTCACTGATGATTCCTTCTACAGTGCCACCCTTCCCTACACTGTAAGGGCAAGGTTATCACACAAACGGAATTCGATCCTCCCACGTGCAGTAGGAGTACTCCGCTAATGGAAATCGTTATACAAAAGTGTGCTATGTTAAGCAGCTAGTTAAAACAGCATGAGTCTGTATGAGTGCTGGTAAGTGGCTTCAGTAATGAATCACCTGGAGAGGAAGTGAAAGATCAGTGTCAGATAATAGGGAAATTCTTGATGATGCAGGGAAATAAGACACTTGTGGGTAAGATACCTTGTGGGTATACGCATTCCAGCACACGCCATCGAGCCAAAGTGGCTGTCCAAATTTGCCAAGGGGTCTCTAAGCTTTCGTCCTTGAGATTACTCCTCTGTGTGTGAACTGTAAGAGCGTTTCTGTACCGCGGTGTGGTTAGCAAACACACTTCATACTGTGGTCCGCTGTACTGTATGTATTCCTGGGACAGTCATAACAAAGCTACCGTTTTAGCACATTAATTTGCACAGCTGTGGTCAAACCAGTCAGCCTGGGAGTTGTCAAATTCTTAACTCCCAAGATCTGGCAACAGTAACAACTAGCCCCTCACAGTTCCACAGTATATAACTTACATACTTCACAAACGTCGTCTTCAACAGGACGATGTGTTAAGACAATAGGCTTCACAGACCATTCTAGATCATTTTGTTTTATAATGGGTGAAATATGTATCTCACAGGAGTAATTCCAAGTCTTTAGAAAGTGGTGATTTTAAAGGAACTATAAATCCTGACACGCTGGAGGTCTCCGGGGCCATAGCTAGAACCCAAACTGGTTAAATAGGAATCGAAAACCTACGTGAACTCAGTAGATGGAAGGCGACCGGACCGGAGTTCCTGGATGGCTCCTTAAATCCTGCCCAGACCAGTGGGCCATGGTTTTGAATCTTCTGCTTTTACAATCTCCCCTTCCTGTTTGTTTTCAGAAAACCAGTATTTTACCAGTGCTGAAGAAAAATCCCACGACCTGTTTTACTGACCTGCTCATCTATGGACAGCATGTTGCACTAATGTACTTTTTGGACACTGTTTTAAAATACTGTTTACACTGTGGTACTTTCAATCTGTATATACCTATGCGTATTTTACACATATTTTATTGTTGAGTGCCTATTAGCATATTTTGCACACACCGAACTATTTTGTTTTGACTATTTCTTAGTCTCTTCTGATGTCTGTTTTTGCTTGTCTTGGGCTGGGCTGCTGTAACACCTCGGTTTCCCTTCGGGATCAATAAAGTCTTATCTATTACAGACCGGTGGCGCTCACGTCTACCGTAATGAAATGCTTTGAAAGGCTGGTCGTGAGGCATGTCCACTGACGACACAGCTTCCCTGGCTCTTCACACTGCCCTGGCTCATGTAGGCGATAGAGTCACATACGTCAGAATGCTATTCATCGAGTACTGCTCCGCCTTTAACACTGTAGGTCCATCCAGACTAGTCACCGAGCTTAACGATCGGAGTATCAGCCCCTTTATTTGCAGCTGGATTCTGGATCTCCTGTGAGGGCAGATGACAAGCTTTCTTCCCCTCAGGGCAGTGTGCTTGGCCCCCTGCTGTTTTTCTTGTTCACCCACGATTGTGTGGCGTGACTGGGCTCCGACTCCATCTGCGAGTAACCTGATGATACTCCCACCTTCGGCCGAATCGCCAGTAACGGGGTGAGATCAGGAACGTGGTGGAGTGGTACCTTGACAATAATAAATCTCCCTCAACATCAGGAAAACCAAAGAGCTGGTTGGCGAATTCAGAAAGCAGGGTGGGGGGACCACACCCTTGTTCACATCAATGGGGTGGCTGTAGAGATGGTTAGCAGTTTCAAGTTCCTGGGTACCTTCATTACTATCGATTTAACATGGTCCCAGCATGTTCCTGGAGCTACAAAGAAGGTGCAAGGGTGCTTTTAATTCCTCAACCAGGTGAAAAACATTGGTCTGTCTTCAACTCTTCTTACTACAATCTACGAGTGCTATTGAGAGTGTGCTCATGTGTGGTATTACAGTGTGGTTTGGCAGCAGCTCCAGCTCTTTGTCTGACCGAAAGGCATCACAGGGGGTGACACTTTTTACAACTCGCTGTCTCAGGAGGGCTAGGATTATCACTAAGGATACCAGTCATCCTGGTTTCTCACTATTCTCCCCCCTTCCCCCTGGTAAGCGTTATACTGTAGGAGCATAAAGGCACGAACCTCCAGATGAGACAACTTCTTCCGGAAAGCTGTGAGACTATTGAGTTCTACATGTACAGCTAAATAACATGCATTTTTGCACACCGCTTGTGCTGGCTTTTATTTAGGTTGTGTTATTGAACTTTGTTGTTCTCAAGGCTGCTCTGTGTTTAGGTTTGGTGTTTCCTCAATGTCTTTTGCATTAGAGCATACCTGCACACCAGTATTTTATTGCACTTGCGCATATGACAAATGAACTGAACTGAATTAGTCGGAGCACACATTTCTGGAGCTCGCTGGGTTCAGGGGAGAGTGCAGGGATTCGCTTCCGTCAGTGTTTCTGAGGCGTGACCCCTCAGGAAAATGTTTCGTCTTGGAAAATAATTCAAATGGAGATTATTTCCCCCTGACGTTAACCATTGTCACTGTAACCTCTCTGCAGATTTCCTTTATGTTCTTCCATGTGTACGACGAGTATAAGCATGAATAAGATAAGATCACTTTATTGGCCAAATACAATTTCTTGCATTAGGAATTTGTCTTTTCGCAGACCCCAGCTTGCTCTCCATGAGACACACAGACAGGGAGAGAAGCTTGGGGTTAGAGCGCAGGGTCAGCCATTGTACAGCACCCCTGGAGCAGTTGGGGTTAAGGGCCTTGCTCAGGGGCCCAGCGGAGTAGGATTCCTCTGCTGGCAGCGGGATATGAACTGGCAACCTTCCAGCCACAGGCGCAGATCATTAGCCACAGAACCACCGGTATTCACTGTGCAATACAGGCTAGTAGAGGTTTGCTGTTATCATATTCCTTATGACAGCAGATCAGACAGCATGGGGACAGGAATTTAGTGACCTGATTCCGCGGGGATAGTCTTCCTGACAGTTCTGTGTGTGAAAAGGCTGGTGCAGTGATTATAATTATGGTTGTCTGCGATGACACTGTTGTCGTCTCTGCCAGGGTATTAAGAAGTCCCCGCATCGTACATGAACACTATTTGAGTTTGTTCTCCCTTTATCGCCCCACAGCTAGGATGATTGACCCCCAGTGACCTCTCGCTGACCCTATGCCAGCCCTTCAACAGCCCTGAGGGCCGAAAAACGTGAAAGCGCAAGAATCCAACGGAACAAGAAGACATGTCCCTCCCGGGGACCGCCCCCCTCCCGGATCTCAAGCCCCGCTTTGGCCTCCCGTCCAAACCCAGAGCCAAACCCCCCGTCCCGCAGAAGCCAGCCCCCCCCAACGGCACGGACTGTCCGCTGGCCGAGAGGGCGAGCGAGGAGGGCGGCGCGGGCAAAGTGAAGAGGATCGTGAGCCAGCTGTGCCAGGAGGAGGGCGAGAAGCCCAAGAGGGAACCGAAGAGGGCCCCCACCATCAAACCCAAGCCCCCCAGGGCATCCCGGGCTGGGAAGCCCGCCGTCACCACTGCCGCGGTCGCTGCCCCCCCACTCCCACTGAAAAAGAGCAAGACGCTGGAGAGGAAGGAGGAGGGAGGAAGAGGTGGAGAGAACGGCGCGGTCGTGCCTGGCTGCCAGGATAGAGGTCGATCAGGTATTGCGACATCGGAGCTCCTGCCTGCTACATGTTTACTTCCTGAAATGTCTGGCAGTGTGATAAATGCATGCATTGGAAGGAGGCTACAATAGAGCATCGACCATATCCTTACAGGCAGCGAATTGATCCGAGAGTCTCAGCCAATGTTTAATTAGTAACATATATGCGATGCCTAACCTTTCAAATCCCTGGAAGGGGACATGCAGCAAACACACCCCGCCCTGGCTGCATATAGCCAGTCAGGTGTGGTGCCATGTGACGTCACTCAAAACAATACGAGTCCCGGGTGATTCTGGTAATGCAGGTGGCCCTGCAGTCACATGACAAGCAGGAACTGATTTGCATGCACACCTGTATTGTGTAGGCATGTCTCTGTAGGCAGAGTGCATTTAACCTTTACCTTGCTCGAGCCTGCCTCAGTTGCAGTGGATCAAACCTTTCTGGAGGCTTTGCACTGCTTTCTTCTCCCGGTGAATTTTGGCTTAGGGGCAGACTCAACTTGGAAAAAACATGAAAGCCTGTTCGAACCGATCACTATTGTATATCACTAGCTGACCGCTGGGCAGCGAGGAGAGGAAAACACAAAGTCCCAGTGGGAGAGAATAAAACTGAGGGGAGCTAAGGCCTAAGGGTTGTCGTCAGCGTTATCCGAGTCATGTCATGAGCCCAGCACAGGGACAGTGGAAATATAAAAAAGAACAGGGAAGTGAGTAATAGTACCTGGGTAATTTAACGTCAATAAAATTAAGCAACACACTCTGACGATCTGCAGATGCCATCCCTATTTGATTACGGGCAAAGAAGAACTGAAGAAATAGATCCTGAGCTTTGATTGAAAGGCTGGGAGCGTGGAGGTAACTCTTACGTGTCAAAGGAAGCAGCGTAAAGTCACCTCTAACCTCAGTCGCTGTGAAGGAATGCACCTAATCAGTGGGCAGTAAGGGGACAGTACTTCAGTGTCGTACACAGTAGTCCAGTGGACATGAGCGATGGCGTGACACTGATAAACCTCCACTATCCCTCAGTTGCTAAATTGGCTGGGGTTGTCATCAGAAGCATAGAGAGTTACTGTGCCCTCCTCAGTTTGTCGGCCTAGTCTGCCCACAAAGCCGATCTTTTTTTCTCTGGCTGTCTTTGAGCTGTTTCAGGTCAGGAGAGGGGAGCTGCATCGCAGCTCACTGCCGTAATCGTGTTCGGAGGAAGTATAGTGTTTCTGTGACGTTTTTACCGATCAAGAGGAAGCTGGCCTCAGCCAACCACAGCAATAGCGGTCCCATCAACAGCTGGGTCAGGTCCCTCAGTCCGTTGGTTATAAAAAAAGGAGCGTTGGAGAAAATAAACCTTCTGAACAATGCTGGCGTGGGCTCAGTTCCCCTTCCTGTTAGCTGCACCTCATCTGTTCCATGCCCATGTGCGCAGCAGTTAAGGAGGCACGCACGACCACATCGCTCCTGAAAGCGAAACCCTTGAGCTTGCGCTGAGAGTCTTGGCGTCGCTCAGGAAACAGGGATACGCATCACAGGGACTGGTATGGTGCAGCGCGTTCCAGCTCGCAGGGGTTTACAAAACGTGTCCGGAATGGTCAGATATCAGTTGAAATCCATCAGGAAACCTGTCAGCTGGGAGGTCAAGTAGCCATATTCAACAGGACATTTTAAGACGGGATTAGATGTTAAAATCCAGTTGAAATTGGAGCTCGCCCGCCTTGACTTCGGGCTGACTTGTGTTGTAACGGACAAATAAGTTCTGGATCCCGAGATGAAGTTTAAACAGATGAGTTTTATTGCATGCAAGGAACAATAAAACCGAAGTCTTGTTCGAAGTACCCAGTTTATATAGCCCTTTTCTGCTGCTTCTGCCGTAGCTCGTTACCATGGTAATGGGGGGAGGTCACAGTGTCCGGCCAGTTCACAGACTTTGGTCACTCTTAGTGGTCTGTGTTACGTTTCCTTCCCTGGGGGGGGGGTTCTTGCTGGCATCTGGAATCCTTATCAGTTATCCCCCTTTCCTGCCATAGCTCTAAGCCTGTTACTTAGAAGTCCAGTCCTCATCCAGAAAGGACTTAGTTAACCCTTTCTTCACATCTTCAGTCTTTCTTCATTTGTCTTAGATGACATCTTCATCAAAGCTCCCAAAACAATCTCAGATGCTCAGATTTCAGGATTTAGTTATGACTCTTCAGAAGCTGTGGTGCCCTTGATAAATGCAGGCAGTCCCTTCCTCTCCGCAAGCTGTATCCTCATGTTGGTATATAAAAGTGTTTTTTTTATTGCTGTAGGATTGCTGCACAGCAAGAGTTGTTGACATGACAAATAGTAAGGGTTTTTAAAAAGAGTCAAGCAGGCTCCTGGGATTGCGCACCCAGGAATCCACTGGAAGAACAGGAGATAGCAGGGCTACAGCACGTCACTGTGGAACACTGATTCATGTCCAGTGCGTTCTGAAGCTCGAAGGTCAGTCTGAGGAGTAAACAGGCGTTTCCTGATTTTTTACGAAAAATCTTCAAGGAATAATAATAGCCCTATCTGGGCTGGAAAAAATACTGTTGAAACATCCTGAAGTCAACAGAGGACATCTTTCGGTCTCAAAACAGGAAGTGCTTCCCGAGTATCCATCTGTGCTTCCCGTCTCCTGCTTTTCTCCAGCGCAGAAAGACTAAGGACCCTCATGAAAATCCTTCTGGAGGATGTTTATCTATGCTGCATTTCTGTTTGCTGAAAACAAAACTGGAAATGGCACAGACCTTAGAATGTAAAGTATCATAAAATCGTTTCCAATGAAGATTTACAAAATTGTGTCAGAAGGTTATCCTTTTATATAACTTGGCTATTCTAAGAAATAATTCAGCAATCAGTATTCCTGAGTTACAAGCACCTTCTGTAATCTTCAGATGACATGAGATTTCATATAATTATCTACTGGTCCACTGACAGCACTTGCAGCTTCTACTGATTGTCCTTGAGGGTCTTTCATCCCAATACAGATCAGGTCTAGCCCTGCTTAATCTCTGGGATCCATCAAGATTAGACTTCCCATAACAGCTTGTTTGTCCACCCAGGTCTAGCCTTGTAGAGCTTTTGATGAGGCTCTGAGTCACCAGTGTATCTAACCACTGATTTCCCCAAACTGTTCTTGTCTCCCCATCTTAGATCCAGATGGTAGGGAGATCAATATACATCCCAGCTCCGGAGAAGAAGAGGAGGGGCTGTGCAGCTCAGCAGCGCCCCCTAGCTTGAGCTGTGAAAACAACTGTGGCTGCCTGTGCCACCAGAAATGGCCAGGCATGAAGCTGGTGTGGGTGCCCATCGAAGAGGAAGGGGGGGAAGAGGAAGAGGAGGAGGGGGAGTCTGAGACCGAGAAGGGTGACCAGGGAGAGAGTAAGATAAGGGAGAAGCAAATGAAAGACGATGTTGATGGCAACACCGTTCCTTTGGGTGGACCTGCAATCCCCAAGCAGGAAAGCCTGGAGATGGAGGAGGAGTCTCTGTATGAGACACAGCTGATGACCTCTGCAGACCCCAGCGTGCAGCAGGAGCCAGCGGTCAAGGAGCCCATAGCCAAGACCATCCCATCCATCGTTCTCACCAAGCCGCCCAGGAAAAGCAAACAGAGAGCCTCGCTGCAGCCACCCTCATCCTCCATAGAGCAGGAGGACCAGGCCCCCGCTATTCCTCCCAGAGTACCCCTCATCCAGGCAGGCTCCGGCCGCCCAGTCTCCATGCCCACGGGAGGAAGGTTCTGCGGCCTGCCCATCTCCCTCTTACCTGAGGACTGTCGCCCCCTCCGACCCCTGCCTCCCGCCGATCGCAGCCTGCCGCCCAGCCCCATGGTCGCCAGGAACTCCAACCAGCAGAGCCCAAACAGCAGCGGCCTCAACTCCCTGTCCAGCGAGCTATCCCAAGGTAGGCGGAGAAAGAAGGGGGTTGCTAGATGGACATACAAGTGCTTCTAAAAGTGTCCCGGCGGGAAAGGGTGACCTTTCTTTAAACATGCTGTTCAATGCAGATGGAGACGATGATGATGACATCGGGCACGACTGGGAAAAAGTGGACCCTGTCTTCAAAGAGGATGACAGGTGAGCTGTGACACATCACACTGCAAACTTTGAGGCAGAAGTCTTTCTGGCACAAAAAATACAGCAGTTAAACTATCGAGGCCTCAATCACATCCAGTAATTGGTTAGGGTCCTGTGACACCTTAATTGATTTCTTTTAAGGCCCCACTTGACTAACTTAGTTATACGTTACTTGCAACTGCATGCATACCTTATACAGTATACATTTGACTGTGCATTCATGTGCATTCATTCATTCGTTGAACAGAATTCTAAACAAATGCCGTGCAAGAGACACTACGAGGTGCAGCTTGGCGTGGGTGGGATCACTCAACACAATTACTGCAGTGATGGGACTGTGGAGTCCTCTGGTTTTCTTTTCACCACTTCATTGGCCAAATTAGTCTGTTTGTGTAGGAGCTCAGATTACCTGTTGTTTTATGTCTTGATTCAGTTGCTAATTAAAAAGTTTTTGCAAAACATGAAGGCCCTTGGAAATACTATTATATGCAATGAGAAACATTTCTAAAGTATTTTTACGACAGTCCACTATCATATCTCTTAGTGTATGTAGTTATGCCACATATGGTACTCGGTAAACGCTATGGTAAAACTGCGGTAAAAATACAAGTGCACAGTGGTAAAAAAGGTAAATCTTCACAAGGGGACACATGGCATCTGTGTTCTAATGGGAGTGAACTATTAGGACATTACGCTGGATTAGATCCTCTAAGGCTTAAAATGTGCAGCATTAGAGATCAATGGGGAGAGTGGGTGCACAACTAAATAACAATAATGCTCTCCATCTCCTCCACCTCCCTTCCAGCAGTGAGTGGAAAAGATTGTTTTTCTGCACAGCTGTGATTGCACTCTCCTGTGTCAGGTACAGTAACACCTGGGGAGGCCTGCAGCACTGTGGTGACCAGTAATGATGTGAAAGGGTGACTGAGTCCGTGTCTATCCCACCCCTCTTTCAGGCCCGCAGGCACACCGCCACGGAGAATGTCCATAGACTGGGAGTCCAGACTGCAAGACGGTAAGAATGCATAGCTGTCAGTACGCTCCTATGCATCTGAGGAGCAATGGAGGAAAGCCTGACAGGACATGTCGCCTTTATAACTAAAAACCAGTGCCAGATTCCAGCAGCCTCTGTTGAACTCTGACGGAGGTCATTATTCAACAGATCTGCCCTTCTCAAGAGTGGGGTACCATACAGCCTATATTTTCTGGTCCCACTCAAATAGAGCAGTGAATGCTAGTACACAACTGATACACTGAACCAGTGCGCCTTCTCATTTAGAACCTGTCCTGTTGCTAAACTGGCAAGCTAACCAAGTGTCTTGGGTTCAGTCTGTCTGTCCATAGTACACCCTTGATATTGTGGGAACAGTTAATACGGGCTAATAAATAAAGTGCTCTGCCCATGCCAGAGCCACTCTACCAGACCTACCGGGCCTCCGTCATTTCCAAGGAGATCAAGAGGCAGACCGTCTCCAGGAACATCAGCAAGACCAGCCAAGACTTCACCGCTGACCGGCTGAGCACTCTGGAAGGCCGGGGGCAGCACGGGCAGAGCTTGCTGTGGCAGGAGCTGCCTGCTGTGAAGGAGTGCGGCATCCTGGCGAAGCTCAGTCCCGCCCAGTGCAAGTACCAGGAGGTGAGAAGGCAGGGCAAGGGCAGGGCGGAGTGGGGCAAGGTGGCATTTTAAGACGGGTCAGACGCTCATCGTGTGGATGCGGTCACGAGGTGAGGACCCTCTAATGGCTTTGAAAGCAGTCACTCAGATTAAGCTCCCTGCTGTCCGGACATCACTAATTGAAGCCTAGGCCATGTCACAGACCAACAGCACATGCATGGGTGAGGTTAGTTAACTAGGCTCCCTTTTGTTCTCAATGCAGCTGTGACCCCAGCGATCTGCCAGGTGCACAGCAGTTTTGCAGTATCTTCGGAGAGACATGTTGCTTTTCCACGTGGCGCTTTCTCTCAACTCAAAGTGTGTCAGGAGATGAATGGGGTCTGACAGACAAGCATGTCCACATATCATTCTTTTTTGGGCCAGGTACAGGATTGGATTCAACACTACCTAAGAATGTTGGATGTTGGTACAACTACCCTTCAAAAGGGTAGTTGAAGAGAAGTCTGAAAACAAGCCACTGTGACTTACTGTACTCTTTTTATATACAGTACCTTGTCTATACTACAAGACCCACACTTGACGGTAACAGGCCAATCAAACAGTGTGGATAGTAGTAATGCGTGGGTTGATTTACACCCGTGAGCGGGTGCACGCTTACCTGCGGGCCAGGTGGGCTCAGGTTAAAAAACTAAGGTTTAAGATCGGGTCGGGCGGTTGTGGGTTCGAGTTCGTTTCTCACACCGCGGGCGGGTGGGGATAAAAAAAAAAAAAAGCCGACCCCTGCATCACTATCGTGCGGTGTAATTTCTAATGGAGCAGGTTCGGACCGGATTCGGGTCAGTACTTTGATCATTTTAAATCGGGTCGGGCCGGTAAAAAAAAAAGCCGACCTGCACATGACTCATGGATAGCATCGTACATGGGGAAAAAAAGGTCTAGATGGACTGTGTTGCCTCAGAGTTATTTGCCATAGCCTTTACAGAGGGCTCCATTAACTGAAGGAAACTACATGGTCTTCACATAGTTTTGATATCGGTATGTCCCTAGTAAAGTGACACTGTTGAACTACAAAAAAACAGCAGAGGTCAAGGTGTTATCTGCATCCGTACAGACCACAAGTATGAAACCCGTCAGATCAGGATTTTTAAAGTGTTTTACAGTGCCTGCATGTGACATCAGCACTGTGCTCAGTCAGAAGTGTGTGATGTCCCCTCTGTCTCACAGAGCATGTTTGAGGTGCTGACGTCAGAGGCCTCGTACCTGCGCTCCCTCAAGGTCCTGATCGAGCACTTTATGGAATCGCGGGACCTGGATGGGACCCTCATAATCCGCGAGAAGAAGATCCTCTTCTCCAACATCCTGAAGATCCGCGAGGTCAGCGAGAGGTCAGTGGAGCCCCACACCTGGTGTTGCCAACACCTGCCGTTACTCATCAAACACTGACAAACTATCGACTGGTTCATGACAAATGAGGGGCCGATAATGCCAGCAGCCGGTGCAGCATTCTGCTGTGCGGTTTTGAAGAGCAAGTGCTCAAAATAACTAAATACTGCTCAGTTCTGCAACAAGTTAAATAAATGATAAACTTGCACACCACTTCCTTACGTCATCACATAAGACTATTGGCATTGACCTGTGTTACACTTTGTGTAAAATCTAAATGAGGAGAAATACACCAGGTTTTCACTGTGTAGTTTTAAAACTTAACCTCTTTTTATAGGTAACATAATGGCGGATGTTATTAAACACACCAGAGCCTTACCGTGCTATTTAAAAGTAACCGTTTTGGATTGGAATACATAGGTTCAGCAAAGAACCAAAAGGAAACAAGAAGGTATTGGTGACCACTGTCAAACAACATTACACATAGAGCAGAGCACTTCTGTATTCAGTACTCGAGTGTGCTCATGTATGTACATGCCTTCCCAGTTCACAGGATAGGCTGGTCTGTTCTGAAATCATTAACTGTAGATTTCCCACAGAATGCTTTCAGTGTTATTAAGAGAGACAAACGGTCTGTTGTCAGTAACACCATGTAAACTGCACAGACGAGTATGGTGGGCATTTCAGCTTTCCAGTCTTCACCCTTCTAGAGCGCGGTGACTTCTGGTTTCTGTTTCAGCTGAACAGCCAATCCAAAAAATGAATCTAGTTCTTAATTACACATGGGATTCTACAGCTGATTTATCAAAATATTCTCTCTTACTAATTAGACCAGCTATGTAATAGATCCCGGGTGGAACAAAAAGCAGATGTTAGGTTTTGAGACCCCTGTTTGCGTTTGAGATAATCGGGCTGAGGGAGACGGGGCACACTTTTCTCGCAATACAGCAGCCAGATCAAAAGATTAAGATCTGATGGACAGTGTGGTTTCAATCTCAAGAGCTTCTGTGATTTCTTTCTGCCACTGTTCATTCATTCTGTTCCTACTGCTACTGTCAGACACGGAGCCAGCTTGTTGGAGGATTCATTTTTACTGTGACTTCAATCCCACACCTTTTCCCTCCTGGTATAAGACCACACTTTTTCTCACAATTGTTTTATTTACCTGTTTCTCCTTTCACTCTTCTTGGTGTTCTGTGCTCTTGCACTCTCTCCCTCTTCTGCTCCCCCTCCTTCTCCCTCACCTTTTTTTTTTCTTAACTCGCACCACCTCCTTCTCTCTCAGTCCCTCTCGTCTGGAATGTTTGTCCAACCTCTCTCTTCTCTGGCGCGGTCCAGGCTTGAGCCCAGCAACTGTCTTTCCGTTCCCATGTAGGTTCCTCAAAGATCTGGAGGAAAGGGTCGAAGAGTACCTGATCATTGGCGACATCTGTGATATCATACACTTCCATGCTCAGCACAGCTTCCCTGCGTACATCGACTATGTGCGCAACCAGATCTACCAGGAGAAGACCTACAGCCACCTCATGTGAGTGCCACTGCAGTGTCCTCCTGCTGGCCGCAGGAGAGGACTGCTTGTTTTGGGCTCTCTGCTCACTCATGCCCTGTTCTCCCTCTGTTTCTCAGGTGTGTCGTGTCTTAATAATAGTAATAATGGCTTACACCTATGTAGCCCTTTTTTGAACACTCCAGTTAAATCGTTTTACAGGTAATGGGGACTCCCCTCCACCACCACCAGTGTGCAGCCCCACCTGGATGATGCGACGGCAGCCTTAGTGCACCAGTACTCTCCCCACACGCCAGCTCTCAGTGGGGAGGAGAGCAGAGTGATGAAGCCAGTTCAGAGAGGGGGATTATTAGGAGGCCATGATTGGTAAAGGCCAATGGGAAGTTTGCCCAGAATGCCAGGTTAACATCTCTACTCCTTTTGAGAAACGCCCTAGGATTTTTAATGACCACAGAGAGTCAGGACCTCGGTTTAATGTCTCATCCAAAGGATGACGCCTATTTTTACAGTAAAGTGCCCCCATCACTATACTAGGACATTGGGACCCAGACTGCAAGTAGAGTTCCCCCTATTGGCCCCACTAACGCTTGCTGGCATCTTGCTGGCATACCACTCTCCTCAGTGGCAGAGTCTGCTCGGATTGTGCCTTTATAATAAGCATTGCTTTATTTTCAGAACATCTTCCTGCACATCTTTCCATGTGTTATGAGCTAACAGGTATTGCTTAAAACACAATGGAAACCTACAATAATGTTACCTGTCCAGTAGAATGAGACTTCTCTTTTTCTTCAGTTTTAATTATGTACAAAACTAATCCTTTTTTAACTCCTTAATTACTACCCTTATAACTAAACTTGCTTTCATGTGGCTGATGAACAGACCACTTGACACACCTGAAGAAGGCTCCGCAGCTGAAACGTTTCTTTTCTTCTCTTTTCAGCAGGGAATAAACCTTTCCTTGTTCCTTGACAGCCTATTCAAGTTGCTTTTAGGAAATGTTTTAGGATAGATTTAGGACTTTTTATTCCTCAGGGGGTGTTTTGCTGCTTTGCAATGTTAAGAGAAAATAAAAGTAATATACCTCAATGCTGACCATTTCTTTTCAGTGCCACTGAGAGTTTCTGACTGGCAGGACATTGGAAAGTTTGTGCTGGCTGAGCCTTTATAGTGTAATCCAGCAGTTTAGGCTGCACAGAGGTGGAAGAAGACGTATTGGAAGAGAAATGGGATTCATTCCCCTTTGCAATAAGCAACACAGCCCATCCCATATCAGCCTCCTCTCTGGACATTAGATGGGAATGGAAGGACTATTTGTACAGCAAAGATCTATTGACTAGCTAAGCAATTCTCAACTCCTAGAGCCTATAATTACACAGAAGGGCAGACGGACGAATGCCCTTACTGTGAATCAGTGAAGAGGCTTTGGACAGGCAGTGTGAGGAAGGGCAGGATGGTGATTTTAATGCGGGGGGGTGTTACACGCGCGTGTCTGCTCTGCGCCCTGACGGTCGTGTCTCCCGTGCCCTCCCCACGCCCAGGCAGAAAAACGTGCAGTTTGCCGCGATGATTGCCCGGTTGCAGGAGTCTCCGCAGTGCCAGCGGCTGCCCTTCATGTCCTTCCTGCTGCTGCCCTTCCAGAGGATCACCCGCATCAAGATGCTCATCGAGGTGCCCGATCAGACGCCGCGGTGGGGTGGCTGTAAATACGATCAACACCATTTCAGGTTTCCCCCTGCAAAAAGACTTGCCTTCCAGGACCGGTGTTGAAAGCCGTTCCATGCAGAATGTGCCAGATTATGGTCGAAATGCGGGTGGCTGTAATACATGCTGATGTTCCCCTACATTCCCTCCTTCTCTTCCCGATTTCACTCAAAGTTAACAATGGACACGCTCAAACCTTGAGTTTTAAACCATCGTGACAGAAGGGCAATGTATGAAAAAGAGCACTGGCTTTCTGCCATTGTGTCTGAAGCTGAGCGTGATTATGATTCCAAAGGTACAGTTCAGTTTCTTAAATCACTCCTCAGATACCGTTTATACCATACAACGTTATCTGCCAGGATAGCCGGGAACCTTTGATCTTACCGCAATCCCTGGAAAAAAAAGGCTATTTTTAAAAAAAAAATAAACAATGTGGAAACCCCAGCTCAATTTCAGCCTCCCACCCATCCAAACTCCACATGCTGCAGAATGCATTGAGGTCACTGCTATAAGAGCATCTTTCTTCTTCTGTGCAAGAGAATATTACAGCTCTTAAGTTATTATTTTACAGAGCTATTCTGGAGCCACTTTAGGGTAGTTTGATTTAGACCATTAGAGGTGTGAAAACATTCCTCCCAACCTCCTGAGACATTGATAGCTCATTGTCTGGGGGTAATGCTTACCCCATGGAGTGGTGCTCTTCCTCTTTGAGCTGGAAGAGCTGCATCCTCTTTGGCACTTAAACTGTGCATGTCTGAGCGTTTTGCAGGAGCTGCTCCGAGCACTATGTCCTTAGCCTGTGTGCAAGGCCTACACTCCTTTCCATCCTTCTTTCGCAGTGACCAACTGCTATGCCTGCTGCAACGGTTTTCACTGTATTTGCAGAACATCTTGAAGAGGACGGCCGAGGGGACCAAGCAGGAGACGAATGCCTCCAAGGCGCTGGCCTCGGTCTCCAAGGTGAGAGGTTTAATTCTTGTAAAAGTTGCACACAGTAGAGGTACCCACAACCACCATTAACCTCCAAACTGGAGTACAGGATGTATCCCTCCACCTACACAACCGTTCTATGAGCCACCCCACTCTGTGAGTGTCTGAAATACTGTCCCTGACGTAGACTACGCACCCAGGAGTGCACAGTACCATGCCTGATGAACAATCACAAGTTTGAGTACCTGTTTCTGTCACGTTTCTTTAAAGAAACACTGGGCTTTTAACCTCCGATAGACTTGTTAGATTATTAAGATGGTTGCAGTGTTGACCTTTTTATGATCAAACTTCTTAATCACAATTGATAAGTAACCCATGAAATTGAGACAGCGCTTTTTCTGAAAGGAATCAAAGTTGGCTGAGACACCCATCAAACCTGATATTCTACTTAAGAGTCTCTACGTCATTCCTTTAAAGTCCAGATCCTGTTAGGAGAATCTCTAGCATATATTCTCCTGCCCCACGCTTCTCCTTGTTGTAATGTAGCTTTGGCAGGACTGCACGAATTTCCCACTTCATTGTACACATCCAGATAGAGCACTGACAGGAAGGCAGGGCTCTGTGGGCGACCAGTAGCCTGATGCCTGTTCTTCTCTGGTCTCTGTGTCCCTCTCAGATCATCGAGGAGTGCAACAATGAGGTGGGAAAGATGAAACAGATGGAGGAGCTGATACATATCCACCAGTCACTGGAGTTTGACAAACTCAAGGTGAGTAGCACCAGATCCGGTGACCTATTCTGAATTAAACAGTGGTGCCCCCTCCTAGAGGGATAGCTGTGCTGGAACTAAATTCTACTTAGCAGGTCGGTAGCAGGTTTAATCAATGTCAGCTCTCTCGGCTGCTGAAAACTTGGAAATGGTGGGAATCTTCACCAAGCAAGACAATATCAGATTCACTTTAAGCTCAGGTGGCACAGAAACCTTATCCTGTGTCTCTCCCGTACTGAAGGGGGAATCACTGCTGTTGGACAGTTCTTAATAGGCTATACTGTGGTGTTTGGAACTTGCCTTGCCATACTGTACATGAATCTCTGACTCGCACCATTGTGCAAAGGGAGTCTGGTTTCCACACCACAGCGCCTTGGTAACTGTTTAAGGACAGAGTTGTGTTGACGCCTGTGCCACTTATCCACAGGCCTTGCCCATCATCTCCCAGAACCGCTTTCTGGAGAAACGCGGGGATCTGCAGGAGATGTCTCGGGGTGGGACCCTGTTCAGCTTGAGGCCCAAATTCACCCCTATCCATCTCTTCCTCTTCAATGATCTCTTCCTCATCACCAAGAGAAGGTAGGTGGCCTTCATCAGACACTTGAGATGGGGGCTGGTTTCCATGGTGGGATGCTAATCCATCTCTCCATCAGGAGACATGAGAAGTATCCTTTAAACCTAGCATTTTCCCAACTATTTTCCAGTTACTTTCAAAAAGGTTCCATGCCAAGTGGAGTAAAACATAAAACTCTTCCCCTCCCCCATCTTAATGGAGAAATTTTAAGGGACGTGTTACATTTCAGGTGTTTTTCAGCCTTTGTTGAAGGCATCATTTGAGGAAATACCTTCTTTAAGCACCTAAACTCCTATTTTAACAATAAAATGTAATAGAAGTCATTAGAAATAAGCTATTAGAAATAATGCTGCTAGCAAATCGGGAAATGCAGATTCAGAGATGCATGGCATGCATTGTCAGAGCAGATCCACTGTGAGAAAGAGATCTTGCATACTGATGTACTGCCAGAGTAAAGTTCCCTGTGGTATGCAAGGACCCTGTGGACAGACTTTGGATGGTCCCTGGACTCCTAGGTTCAAATCTTATGGTCGATACACTACTGCTTAGCCCTGCTTCTCCAAGAACACAGCCCTGCAACTCTTATCAGGTCTCTGTAAAATAGCTCGCACTCTGGACGCAGGCTGTGCTGTGCTTGTAACCTGCCCCTCTGTACACTGTGGAACTGCCTCTTTGTCCCCCTGCAGCTCAGACCGTTATGTTGTGATTGACCACGCCCACCGCTCGCTGGTGCAGGTCCAGCCTATTGACGAGATGTCCTCAGCACAGGGGATAGACAACTGCTTCTGCCTCACGCTGCTGGAGAACCACCGGGGCAAGATGTTCGAGCGCATCCTTAAAGCCCCCACACAGTGAGTGCAATGCCCAGCGACAAACACGCGCAAACAAGTCTGGGTGTCTGCTCTTGTAAAGACTTCCCATTGCCACTCATTCTCTTTTCATTTACTGTTCTCGGCTCTGCCAAACTAAAACTGCAAGCAGGGCGAAAGTAAAACCGAAACAGCCAGTTCTGGCACTTTAATCTGTAAATGATAATGCCGTTAGGTTTAACACAAGAAGCTATTTGCATTTTGGGGGAGTTCCCGTATTGTCTGTTTGACAATAAATGTTACTGTGTGATGGGTAACTATCTTGATGGGATATTGTATTAACCTTGGTCCTCATATTCATGGGTTAACTAGCCTGTACATAAAGCCACATTGTCAAAACAGTGAGTACAGTGCTCAGTATGATAGAGAGGCCTCACACAGCACCAGCCGTGCCCAGTGAGTACAGTGCTCAGTATGATAGAGAGGCCTCACACAGCACCAGCCGTGCCCAGTGAGTGCAGCTCCCAGCAAAGTTGCAGAGGTCACCCATACAAGCCAGCAGTGCTGTGTGTACAGTGCTCAGCAACAGTATATACATACACAGAAAAACGCACACACAGGGTGAAAAATTGAGTCCCCTTTGGAATCCTTCCATTTTTTCTTTCCTTCAAGCGAGAAACAACACAAGCTGAAAAACCAACTAAAATGTTTTCCTGCCAACACCAACAAATGTGTCCACAAATCCTGGGTCACTGCTTCCCCTGCTATTTGCAAAGTGTGTTTTGGTGTAAGTGCCTCAAGCTAAAACCCTGCTAAGCTGGTTATCCATTACTCTTACAGACACATGTAGACCATCTGCTCTTTTTGGGGTGGAACTGTGAAGTACCAATGGTGTCCCGTGCACATTTTCCAAAGGACTTTAAAGTGAAAAATTTACAATGCAGATGTGATGCCCTTTTCCAAATTACGGTTTTTGGGTGCCCCTCTCTGTCTGCAGGCCAGATATGGAGCGCTGGATGGCAGCATTCCCCAACCCCAACAACTCTGAGAACACGGAGGACGAGACGGTTTATGAGGACTGGGGTGAGAAGCGTTATCTGGCTACCAGAGGCTGTATAAAAACAACCCATGTTTCTGAAGAGGACTGGGACAAATGCACATGAAATGCAGCCGACAGGCCATTTTTACCATTCCTTTTTTGTCTTCAATAAGTGAAGACTCCCCTACTCTTCCACTACCTCTCTGAGACAGCATAGGCCAAAGCAGGAGAGAGACATGGTTTAGTTGTCAGCTCTCAATTCCCGGATTTCACTAGCTGCTTAATGCCATTGTTTCAAGATGTCCAAAACCTATATGAATAATTTAGAAAAGTCAAAAATCTGTGTAAAACATGCGGGTCTCTGGCTGTCAACGCGCTTGCACGTGTGAGTGGCCTGGTCTTTACGTTCTCTCTCTCCCTCTCTGTCTGTCTGTTGTGCATCTCAGACTGTCCCCAGATGCAGTGTGTGAAACAGTATGTGGCTCAGCAAGCTGACGAGCTGGATCTGGAGCCCACGGAAATCATCAACATTGTGCGCAAAACCAATGAAGGTGAGGGGGCAAAATGCACTGAAGGAAGGTGAACGGTCTGTATTTGCGAGGAACACACCTGTGTGAACCAGCAGCACACTGATCACAATAGGAACATGCAAAAGAAACCGTTAACGCCAAAGCTCACCATAGAATTCACGATGCACGGAGCTCTCGAGTAGCTCAACCACTAAAAGCTCTTGATCAGATCACCAGTTAAGCTCTATAGCCTAGAGGCCGCAGGTTAGAGCCTGGGTCACATCATCATGTGACCGGGATGCCAGAGCAGATATGCATAATTGGCCGAGCCCTGCTGGCAGAAGAACTGGGATGCCTGTCAAGTTCTAGGGAACAAGGCAACTCCCAGACATGGTGTGCAGTTGTAGGCTTGGTCTACCATCAGGCACCACAAAGCTCACAGCTCACAAGGCCTGTGTGTCAGAGGAGCAGACAGCGACACCTCACTGTTTCCTGAGATGGTCCTCTTTGAGAACCAAATCTGAAAATGACTTGCAATTCCATATTGGATGAGAATATAATTGTAAAAAGAAATCAACCTATGAAAAAGCTACATGACGTGGTTTGTTTGATCCACTTTCCCTACCCCAGGGTTTTTAAACGATTGCAAACTCTTTGTTCGATGCACATTTTTGGTCTCATGTCATGATCCAGACATCTCTTGGATGAGTGCTCCTGTCCTTTTTAAGGACAGGAAAGGACACCACATGAAAGTAGGTGTAAATAAACCTGCACTCTGTTTTGCCAGAGTGTGTTATTCCACATCAAAGAGTGTCCTGCATTCCAGCTACGTTGTAATTTGCTTTTAGTGTCTGATGTGAGCACACACATCAGCATACTCATCACCTTTCCATCTACCCCTGCCCACATGCTTTTCAAGTTGGTTCAGCCCCTTCCAGGTTATTATAGCCAAGTGTCTGATTCCATCTTCCCATTTTCTGTCCGCCCGTTTTCTTTTTTCCTGTGGTCTGCACCTCTGCTTCATCCTCCCATCAGGGTACCGCTGGCATCTCGGCCTTTTCAAATGATGCTCTTTGATCCATTTATTCCTTTTAACATCCTTTCACATCCCTTTGTGTTGCCTAGAGCTGTTAAGTGCTGTTTCATAGCCACTGTTCAGATGCATTTGTCATTTATTTTCATTTGGTCATTTATTAAATCTACATTTCCACATGTATTTGCATATATGTATACATGCATATAATATGGAACTGTACTTTTGTGTATGCTTGTATATGTATACGCACAGGTGTGTGTGTATATATATATAAATGCTTTTGATGATGCAGCTAAAACAAGTTCTCCAATCATACTGCTTGCTTTATTTTGTGCTGACGGTCTGCTGGTCTGTCTCTTGTTTGTGTTTGTGTCCATTGACGCTTCCCAGGCTGGTACCAAGGCATCCGGCTCGCCGATGGCCAGAAGGGCTGGTTTCCCGCCGGAGTCGTTGTGGAGATCACCAACGAGCATGTGCGGAGAAGGAACCTCCGGGAGCGGTACAGGGTGATTAAAGCAGCTGAACAGTTTTCCAAGTCCAAGACTGCCTCCTAGTGGAAGGCAGGTGGATTCTGGAGAGAGTCTGTTTTCTGCAGTTGCAGTTACCAATCACCCACGCGTGCTCTTTGTCCAGAGACTTGTACCCATGTGGGAGCTGAGCAGTAACGATACCTAGGGTGCAATTCTGACAGCTCTGGGTTTCTCTTGTCACTTGCAGCCCGTTTCCCAGGATGCAACAGGGGTCAGAAGACGTCAAGGTGATGCATTTCAAAGCTTTTGTGGACAAGGAGAATATTAAGACATTTGAAAGCTAAAAAAACATTTGTTGGTGGGGACTCACACAGGAAAGGCTGGTATCCTCAAGTTGGTTCCTAATAAAGTGGCCGCAGTCATCGCGTTTGAACACTTCTGGGTTTTATGTACACCTAGGAAGTGCATGTTGTGTACCACAAATTTGGTACCGCCCAAATGCATGCCCTCTTTGATACTTAACATAGCTCAGACCTCAGCCTCCCAGCTTCCCCACTGCCTATTAATCAGCAGCATAATCGACAGAACCCCCTGACCTGCTGCTCTGTACAAAATAAAATGAGGAATTTGCACATAAACGTAACAGATTGATCGCCTTAGGAACCAGGAAGAGCTGTATCTTTAATCAGCTGGATCTAGCCCACTATTTAAGGATGTATTTATAGAGCTTTGTGTTTGAATGGAAAGTGACACAGACGGTTGTACGTAGTGCCAGCATACCAATGCCATTTTGAATACATGTACAGTATGCTTGCTGTCTTTGGTGGTTTGTGAAACAGGGATTCTGGTGCCTCTCTGGGCTTTTGTAAGTGTAATAAAGGTTAAAATAAGAAATTCTTCTCATACTGTGGATGACAGCCCACATGCAGCCTGATGTTATAGGCTGTGTTAAAAAGTGTCTGAAATGGTCACCAAGCATACATGTTCTCAAAATGTGAGTTGTTTTACTTTGCAGTGAAACCCAGAGGACAGTCCAGGGCAGCAGAGTTAAGAGACAAATGAAGAACGTGTACTTGCAGTAACCACTTAACCTGTTCTTCTCAATCCCAAGCCTCATGAGTGGGGGTGTCTGGGGGTTTTGGTTCCAACCGATCTTTAAAAAAAAAAAATTACCTTTAGGAGTTGTTTTCCATGTGTCCTGCAAAAGTCCAAATTCTAAATTTGAAAAATTCTTTGGCGACGTGACCACTGCTTTTTGGTGCAATGTAAAGCAATTAAAATCACATGTACTAGTGCTTTTATTTAAGCAACAACCACTGGGTGTTGCCAGGACTTCAACGGCCCTGTAGCAGAGTCTGACAGGAGAACTGACAGGTCCATTAGGCATCCTGAGGAGCTGAGTGATCAGTGTACCAGGCCTAATACACACTTGTAGGCAAATCTTGCAGTGCTTTTGCGAGTGGGGTGACAATCCTGCATTGCACTTGTACTGGCAGGGTTTCCGGGTTCTTTGTACACAGTTCAGAAGACTACAAGAACATAATGCCAATGAGGGGAACTTATCTGACCACCATGCTTTAAAAAGAAACTACAGCACGCCCCTCCCCCAACACATAAGGGAAGTCTCCCCTTGCATTTTGGCACCATATCCTTAATTAGATACTGATGTCAAGACATGTGCCTGAAACAACTGTGAGGAAAGCCGCCTTGTCTCTGCCACCTGTCGCTAGGATGAAATAAAGTCTTTGTGCATCTTTAATATTTTGTTATATATATATAGTAGCCTCATAGTTTAAATTCAGAAGGGGAGAGAGCCCCAGGCGACACCCACTGCTGCCAGGCTCGCCAGCCAGAACACACACCATCTATCTCCCCACGTGGCGTCCCCCAGCAGGGATGGCATTCCCCGAGGGCTGATGCCACTCTCCATGTGGGACACGGACTGGAGGGACACGCATTACCCAAGCTACCCCAAACCAAGCGCTCCCTAGCCGTAATCCATCCACCCACACACACACACACCCACACTACCTGCTTGAATATTTTAGATTTGAACATGATCAATATTGATGTCCGGCTGACCTTATAACACTAGCTTGGGTCTCTCAACGGGGCTTTCCTGCTGAACCACACTGATCCTGCTGAGAGGTTTTTGGCGAAGAAAGAAGCTACAACACGTGCAAACTCTAAAACATTTTTATAAAAAAAGACAATAAAAAATGTGAAAAGGATAATAAAATAGAAACCCGGTATAATCATAATGTATAATGAAAGAGTCAAATTTAACAAATGGGAACACTTTTCCTTTCGCTGACAAAGATCTATAAGGAAAGGATTTTTTTTTCCTCACAGCTTTAAAAAAAAAAGACCTTGATGGTTTACTAAGGTTTCTGTTTTACCAGGCTCTCTCAAGATTCTGAAGTGTTTTTCTTACTTTTACATGAACAGATGTATTTTTCTCTCCCTTTACAATCACCTGTGCCAGTTACACATTTAGGAATGAGGCAGGTCTAGGCACTGCTTTCTTCTGACTAATCCACAGCCCACTCCCATCTCCACTGCCTGCGATGACACTCTGCACAAAACGCACTGGATGGGCATCAAACAGTCTGGCCCAATGAGCCTTGCCAGTCTGAGAACAGACAAAGATCTGGCAAGGCCTGCGACCTTCCACCTTCCAGACCACGAAATTCCTCTTCCCTTTCATTCCAGCCTTCCCCAGCTGTCAGACCTTCTACCTGGTAAGGCTGCAAGCCAGGCAGGCTCTCAAGCACAGGCTGGCACTGGGCTGGCTGGACGCCAGCCACCGAAGCCACCTTGCTTCTCTCTTTCACAACGTCTCCCTCCCCAGCTCCAGCTCTGCCATCTAAGGCCAAAGAAAGGCTGGGGTCTGGCTGGCTGGCGTCACCGGACTCTCTCCCCAGACTCCCCCACACTCCTGCAGCCAGCTGATCACTTGTCACAGGCCAGTCCTCCAGCTCTGGGCAGCCAGCTGGCAGGGAATCCGGTTCTCTGGGTAAATGTGCTGCAAAGAAGATCGATTCCCCGTTTCCAGGCTCACTTGTGTCTCCGTCTCCGAATTCCTCAGGGCTCTCGGGGGCAGATCTTCCAGGCCCTTCCTCTAGAGGATAGCACAGGCCCCTGCCTTCCAGTTCCAGCAACGCGTGTACCGCCTCCATCTCCTCCTCAGAGTGCCCTCCTGACGTGCAAGACTCTGCTGCAGGGAAAAGGGTTGCGTCTGTGGGGGTCCGGGGCAGGTCATTCGCACCACATTCCGAATCGGGATACACTGTGGAATCTCCCAGTGGAATCTTGTCCTGCAGGGGAGAAAGCACGGGTTCCCCGGCGTTCCTCTCTACAGGGAACTGATCATAATGGAGCCGCAGCAGGCTGGTGACCGCCTGGTCCTCCTCTGGGTTGAGCTGGACGATCCCGATCCGTCTCGACCCAACAGACTGTGGAGTTTCGCGGGGACGCCATTTCCTATCCCAGGTCGGTTGTCCCAGTTGCCTGACGGGATGGGGTGTGGAGCTGAAGGGGTTGGGACCTGGAGGGGGTGCCTGGCATGCAGACATGATTGGTGGAGGCGTGTTGAGCTGGCAGCACTCAAGGACCTGTGTTGTGTGATGTAAGGGGCAGGGAAGAGGAGCTTGACACATCAGGTATCTCCTACAGTGACTGATGACCACCGTACAGAGCCAAATAATGCAGCTGTCCAGTTTACAAACCACTACAGCCTGCAACGGTCTCTCTATAAGCAGACATTCAGAGCACTGCTCTTCCTTTTTAGAGTGCAAAGCCCGCAACTCCCTTAAAATAGTTATTGTTGTGCAAAGCTAGGTTTGGAGTCAACCACAATTTTAAAATAAATTTTGCACAAAACATGAATATTTTAAAAACCCTTTTTCTGGGAGTATGCTTACTATATTATTACATATATCATCTGAAGCAACCTTTTCATGCGACTTTAACATCCTGTACTTACTAATGCTTCACATGGCAAAATCAGATCGGTCATATGAACACACACTGAAACCACAGTAGAGAGGGGTCTACTGTATGGCACTGCATCATGTTGTACTGAAAATGCAGGGCTGCTCTGTTGTTGCACCAGGATCAACACCCATCCCCCCTTCCCAGCTGCCCCTCGTCTCATCTGAGACTTTGGGGAGCTCTGTCTGTCTGATTCTCCTTAATCCCCAAGACCCGTGTCTAATTTCATCCCGGCAGGACAGAAGAAAATCTGAGCTGTCAGTGCAACTATGACCACACCTATTCCTGTGTTCAGCTCCTGGCACTTTTATTCTCCTTTGCCAAATCTCCTACCACACCTTACTCAAACCCTGTAGCTGGCGATACACGCCACTGCATCCCTCTCATGTGCTCAAATATACTTCTAATAAATTCAGTCCTGCAATGAAAAAGCTGATTCTGCAATAGACCTGTCCTGTACTGGAACAGGGGAAATGTTACACATTAGAGGAGCCATTTCTTTACTTAACTGGTTCCAATCTTAACCCCTTTGCTCTTCTTAGTACCACCATCCACAGTCTCCTCTATTGTTATTGATTGTTGTAATTGTGTCTTATCTTGTGTATTATTCTTATTTATTGTTGTATTCTTCTTATTTATTGTTATTGTCATTCTGTAAAGCGCTTTGAGAAGCCACCTTTAAAGGCGCTATATAAAATAAAGTTTATTATTATTATTTCTTGAAAGGCCCCAGTGGCTTCAAAAACATAGGCGCTGGGTGTCTTGCTCCAGACTCCCACCACCCGCGGCATAAAGTAGCGATTCCTATTGTCTAACTTAAATGCTCGTCCTTAATGTTTTTACTTGGGTCTTCCGTTTTGTGTTTCACTGACTAATCTGAAGAATTTTGAATGAACCCTCCCCCCCAAATCCACTCACTTAAAAACAAAATTAAATCTGAGCCTAAAGTTAAAAAATAAACGATGCTGCTACTAATTGTACCATTTTAGAAGAATAAAAGTGTCCGTACTGAAGCACATAGATGGGAAGGCTTGTTTTTCCTCACACAGCACTATTCCACAGACTGAACTGAAACAAAACAGGGCCCTTCTCAAAGCCGGCCTTGGAATTCACTCCCACAATTAAGCCAGGCTGTCCGCTCACTGGCCAAAATATAAGGAACCCCCCCAGGGACTGACATGTCAACACGGCGACCTTCGGTAGAAGGTATTGGGGGGCCTGGGAGCTGACTGTAAGCTTTACCCATACCGCCGCCTTCTCAAGAGCAGGATGGCATTCCAGTTAGGAAAACATGATGGAAGCCAGTCTCTCACTCCTGAAGCCTGTGTGTGAGAATCTGCTCCTTTGACTGGGAATCCTGTTGATTTGCCCTGTCAGGAGCCCGCAAAGGAAGAAGAATACATCCATGGAAAAAGTGCCTATATGCTTACCTCTAGCTGAGACATGGTATTGCAGATCCGGCTCCCTGGAGGCAACATGGGGTCTGTGTAGTAGAAATCAGCTGGACACATTGCGGGCACTATAACCAAGAGACAGGGAGATGAGCATTAGCTGAAGGAGGAGGACTCTTTAGAGCAGTGGCCTGAATTAACAAAGCCAACACAGTAGCCTTGTGAAAATGAAACGGGATACACAAACTGGAAAACACAAGGGGAAGTTTCTCTCCCTTTACAATCACCTGTGCCAGTTACACATTTAGGAATGAGGCAGGTCTAGGCACTGCTTTCTTCTGACTAATCCACAGCCCACTCCCATCTCCACTGCCTGCGATGACACTCTGCACAAAACGCACTGGATGGGCATCAAACAGTCTGGCCCAATGAGCCTTGCCAGTCTGAGAACAGACAAAGATCTGGCAAGGCCTGCGACCTTCCACCTTCCAGACCACGAAATTCCTCTTCCCTTTCATTCCAGCCTTCCCCAGCTGTCAGACCTTCTACCTGGTAAGGCTGCAAGCCAGGCAGGCTCTCAAGCACAGGCTGGCACTGGGCTGGCTGGACGCCAGCCACCGAAGCCACCTTGCTTCTCTCTTTCACAACGTCTCCCTCCCCAGCTCCAGCTCTGCCATCTAAGGCCAAAGAAAGGCTGGGGTCTGGCTGGCTGGCGTCACCGGACTCTCTCCCCAGACTCCCCCACACTCCTGCAGCCAGCTGATCACTTGTCACAGGCCAGTCCTCCAGCTCTGGGCAGCCAGCTGGCAGGGAATCCGGTTCTCTGGGTAAATGTGCTGCAAAGAAGATCGATTCCCCGTTTCCAGGCTCACTTGTGTCTCCGTCTCCGAATTCCTCAGGGCTCTCGGGGGCAGATCTTCCAGGCCCTTCCTCTAGAGGATAGCACAGGCCCCTGCCTTCCAGTTCCAGCAACGCGTGTACCGCCTCCATCTCCTCCTCAGAGTGCCCTCCTGACGTGCAAGACTCTGCTGCAG